TTATTATATCTCTTTTTGATGTATGCATATTGTGTTTGTTGTTGTTGACTCACAAGCTATATAGGAATTTTTGTTAGTGTTGGTTCTTATCGCCGAAAAAATGTCTACGACCGTAACTTAAACTTGAAAATTTTATATTAAACGTCGCTCGATTGTTGACTCTTTTTTTTATTTTATTTTTGTTATTTTTACTTAGCTGTCGACGCGTTTTGCATTATCAAATTCAATTCGATATGCGTATTATTACTGTTGTTGTAGGCTCTTCTTTGTTATTGTATTATTCCATTTATTGGATTCTGCTTTGTTTTCAGTCGCAGTCGCCGTCGGCGTCGCAGTCGCTGCGCCAGTCGACGTCGCGACGTCTGCTCAGTTGTTGCCAGTTGCTTCTTCCGCAGTTATCAGCTGTTCGTCTTTCTGGCCGATTGCGCGCATGCGTAAGTGAGCAGCGGCTTTTCGTGATTGGTTCAGTGGTTTTTTTTTTTTCTTTTTAGTGGTTTATGCAATGGTTCAGCGGTTCAAGAGCTTGACCCAGAAGTACAGTTGCGCGCTCCAATTATAAAGAAACAAGCTGCAGGCATGTAGCAAAAAGTGTTTTGTCATAATTTTGATTTGCTTTTTATTTAAATTTTTTTTAGAGCTTGTAATTAAACATTTACGTAAAGTTCGCCTTGAAAGAGAGGTCTCTTGCATTATAATAGTGTAACAATTACAAATTGCAATGCAACCATGATTATGCATTAAAAAGTATTTAACAATAGCACTTGCTAAGCGAAATTTAAGTGAATTCCGAAACACAACGAAACATTAAAAAAAATTGTACAACCAAAAAAAAAAATATATATATATATAATTAAAAAAAAAAAAAAAAAAAACAAAACAGATGCACGCAAGCAGCGTAAACAAATAATTTGATTAAGCAATAGTAAACAAGAATTAAATATATATATATACAAACATGGATAGTAGCAAATTGTTAAAAAATGTTTATGGCATCGATATACACTTTGAAGATCTCGTCTATCAGGTTAATGAGTCAAAGCGAAAAGGTGCGTAACACATTCTCGATTCTGCTCAAATCAAAATTAAATTACTCGACATTTGATACCCTTTTTCAAGACATTCCTAACACAAAACGTTCTTGATTTCTTGCAGAAAAAAAGAAGGTGCTCAAGGGCATTACGGGCACATTTAAATCGGGCGAATTGACTGCCATTATGGGCCCTTCGGGGGCCGGCAAATCTAGTCTTATGAACATTCTGACTGGCCTTACCAAAACCGGCGTAACGGGCACCATTGAAATCGGCCACAAGGCACGCAAGCTGTGCGGCTACATTATGCAGGATGATCATTTCTATCCCTTCTTCACCGTGGAGGAGACGATGCTGCTGGCAGCAACTCTCAAGATATCCAACAAATGTGTTAGCATGAAGGAAAAGCGCATTTTGGTAAGCATTCGAACCTCGAAGCAAATATGACAGTTTGGTATTGGAAAGTTTTGCTAAGCTTTAATCAGCTTGAAAGCTGCGCCAAGCTTAAATCAGCATAAGCGCGCTTTTAAAAGCTCCAACTGATATGCAATTAGGGCAGGCAATTGAACATCCTTTAAAACTGTTTGCACTAAAAAGCTTAAAGATATCTAGTACAGTGTAATACCAAAAGCTGTAGCTTAAAAGCTTTAATCAGCTTTAAGCTAAATAAGTTTTTAGAAAAACAGTAGATTGTAATACCCGAATACAAATGAAAGAAAACTAAAACTAAACGAAGCTTCAGACATGCCTTGATTAAAGCTTCTTAAAGCTCTTGAAAGCTTGTAAATGATTGATTGCTCGTAATTTAACTGTTGTTCTTCGTTTCACTTATTTTCGTGACCTGTCGCCCTGACTCAAATTGTTAACCTTTTGTGCTTGTGCTTTTCAGATCGACCACTTGTTGAACACATTGAAGCTAACCAATGCGAAGCAAACAAGATGCTCGAAGCTGAGTGGTGGCCAGAAGAAGCGCCTGTCCATTGCCCTGGAGCTGGTAGACAATCCCGCGGTGCTATTTTTAGACGAACCCACAACGTAAGCAAGAATAGAGAATGCGATCAATGCGGAAACCAGTTGCTGACTAACATGTGCTAACCTTGAAATTGTAACCATTCGCAGGGGCCTGGATAGTTCGTCCTCATTTGACACCATACAGCTGCTGCGTAGTCTGGCGAACGAGGGTCGCACCATTGTGTGCACAATCCATCAGCCATCGACGAACATTTACAATCTGTTCAACTTGATCTACGTGCTCAGTTCGGGTCAATGCACCTACCAGGGCACGCCCCAAAATACGGTGATGTTTCTGAAAACGATCGGACTTGAATGTCCCGCCTACCACAATCCAGCGGATTTCTGTGAGTAGCTACCCAATTGTGCCCTATCAGGCAATCATTAAAAATATGTATATCATTCGCCACGTGACAGTGCTGGAATGTGTGAATGGTGATTTTGAAGATCACACCGAGGCCTTAACTGAGTGCGCCAAGGACACGCGCTGGCGATACGATGTGTCGGAAACGCCATCCGAAACACAAGTGGCCAAGTTCAATGAATCGCATAGCCAAGGACAAGCAGCCCAGCCCAAAATACAAAAGGTGGACTCAACAAAGGAACTCGTTAAACACACCTATCCGCCGCCCGAATGGATGCGTTTGTGGCTGTTAATTGGACGTTGTCATTTGCAATTCTTCAGGGATTGGGTGCGTAAGACAAATCTTTTCTTATAATAATATTGTTGAAAGTCTAGAAGAGACCAAGAGATCAGCCGGGGCAAGGTCTGATATTCTTATTTAAATTGCATAAATTAAACGTTAATATATACATGTTCTCTATAAAAGGGTATTACAGACCTTTATACATACGCATTGAAGGGCAAAAAAAATAATGAACTGCAGGTAGAGTGAGAATGGTATAAAGAAAAGGGAATAAAAAAGAGAAAGAGGAGGGTAGAGATAGAGTGCAAGAGATTAAATTAGAATGAGAGCACAAGAACCTTTTTGTATTATTTAAATTCCTGAGAATCGAATAGTAGGGCAATATTCACAAATACATATATTTTACATTTGCGGTGATTGGTATCAGGCACGCATATATGGAGTGGAATAGGCCTGCCTTACAAAAACCTTTATACCCTATATATTTGAATAATGATCAAAATCCTGTCTCTGTTCCAGACCTTAACATATCTTAAGCTTGGCATGCATATACTTAGTGCTGTCATGATTGGCCTGTTCTTTGGTGATTCCGGCATGAATGCCACCAAGCAGATATCGAATGTGGGCATGATTATGATACACTGTACATACCTCTGGTATACGACCATAATGCCTGGAATATTGCGCTGTAAGCTATACGAAACACAAATCCTTTCAATTAAACACAACTGTCCGATTCTTTGTAGATCCTTTGGAGATTGAGATAATCAAGAAGGAAACCTTTAACAATTGGTACAAGCTGAAAACCTACTACGTGGCCACCATGATAACATCCACACCCGTGCATGTGAGTACATATTATATGAACTAAATTTTCAATACGTACCTACAATAATAATCGTCGCATTGCCTTGCAGATAATCTTCTCCACAGTTTATATAACTATTGGCTACATGATGACCGATCAGCCGGTTGAACTGGATCGTTTTGTCAAATATCTGCTGACGGCTGTGGTCGTAACTATCTGTGCAGATGGCTTGGGTGTATTCCTAGGCACAATACTGAATCCGGTGGTAAGGCAAAAAGAGACACATACATATTTAAGATAGGATACAAGTATTATTATTTGTTTTCTCAGAATGGTACCTTTGTGGGCGCCGTATCCACGTGTTTCATGCTTATGTTTTCGGGTTTCCTGATCCTGCTGACGCACATACCCCCCGCATTGCGATTCATTGCCGCCCTTTCGCCGATGCGTTATGCCCTGGAGAATATGGTTATGTCATTGTATGGGAACCAACGCGACAAGTTAGAATGTCCTTCGAACGAACTGTACTGTCACTTCAAGTAGGTTTCGACGTGTTCAAAAATGAAAATTCAAAAGAGTTTGACTAACTTATTTATGTTTTACAGAAATGCCATTACGGTGCTACGTCAATTTGGCATGGAACATGGCGATTTTGGCTATAACATCATGATGATTCTGGGCCAAATATTGCTATTCAAGATCATGGCCTACTTTACACTCAAGCGTAAAATCAAATCAATTTGATTCGCTTTAGTTGCCTAGTATTGAGCTTAATATAAATTAAATGTGATTTTATGTTACTTATCGCTTAGTTCAAGTGAACTATATTTTACATCGGCGTGTGATACTTTAACTAATGCTACCTGTTGCTGTACTACATACTACGTGTAAACATAGCGAATATAGATTTTATACGGTTATACAATTTTTCATACGCATGTACATACATATAAAGGACTATACATATGTATATATGTCATTCGATTAGTTATCAGTTAAAATAGGACAGAGTAAGAAAATTGATGTACGAATAAAATGGACAAGTTAAAAGAAAATAAACTTTATATCCAAGACTTTTAATCTTCTGAATTCGGTTCCCATATGCTCCTTCACTGAATAAAGATGTCTATGATCATGAGGAATATTTTTGGACTCAGCCTGATGTAACGGATATTTCACCTTCTTTTAGGTTGAGCAAAACCATAATCTACTTGCAGTATAACATATTTTATTGGATTAAGCATAATATCAAGATTAATATTATGTTTGTAAGCTATTTGGTAACTGAATTTTGTTTAATTTCAATGGCAACTCGTAATTTTAACATTTACAAATAATTAAACAATAAAATTAAATTTTTCGGGTTTTTAAGTATTTAAATACTACAATTATCGCGCGCATCGCCAACGGTTTTTCACAGCCCTGACCAGCTGACTTATCGAATATCGATAGTTAAACGATGGTACACCATTTACATTTCTCATCACTAACAGACGAAAACAGCAGCCAGCAATAAGCACGGAGTACATAAATAAAACTCATTATTAAAGCTTAATAATTACAAATATAAAGCTTGTAAAAGTATTTTATCAAATACGAAATGTTTCGCTCTAGTTTTGACAAAAATCTGGGTAAGTGACGCATTACAAATGGCAGTAAAATAGGCTGAAAGATAATGCAACAAAAGTGACTCATCGACAAAGCGATGCAAAAAAAAGTATAACAAAAGGGGGGAATGAACCTGAAACGCAATTAATATGCTTTAAACTTGGTGTCTGATTGAGTTTTATTTGCCATTTCACAGAGAACGCCACAAGCCACTTGCGCTTGGAGCCAGATTGGCCCTCAATTCTGTTAATTTGCGATGAAATCAATCAAAAAGATGTCACGTAGGTGCTACAGAAAATAAAAACGTCTTTCTTTGTTAATTACTCACATTTCGCTTTGCAGACCAAAGAATGCCTTTGCCGCAATCAAAAAGAAAATGAACTCGCCAAATCCACACTCAGCATGCTATTCCCTGCTGGTGCTCGAGAGCATCGTGAAGAACTGCGGCGCACCCGTGCACGAGGAGGTCTTCACCAAGGAAAACTGCGAGATGTTTAGCAGCTTCCTGGAGCAAACGCCACACGAAAATGTGCGCCAGAAAATGCTCGAGCTAGTCCAGACCTGGGCCTATGCATTTCGCTCATCGGACAAGTATCAGGCTATCAAGGTGAGTTACGGCCCAAGAAACCCGGAAATATTACGATCTATCGGTCTCGCACAAACACTAATTGAATTAGACGTAAACAGTGCGTATACGCTTTTGAAGAGTGTACGGCGGGGTACATATATTTCAACTTCTTAGGTGTGTATATTCTTGAACGTTATCATTGTGCCAACTAGCTTTAAGGCTTGAGCCTAGCTTAGGTTCGTTTGCCTTCTACAGACAGTAGACAAAGTCTGCCCATTGCCATAAAAACTTTTGACAGTATAGAAGCCTTGGTCGCCTTTAGATATAAACTGATTAAATGAACTACGCAGGCTTAATTGAGAAGCGCTTTGTTTTATAAACTATATCATAAAAAAGAATTTAGATTAGCAATAGCTGCTATAGCTTCTCAATATATACGAAAAAGATTCGTCCAGTTTCTAAGCTTATACAAGCGCAATTTTAAAATCATCTGAGTAATGTTTATACGAATTTGAGCTTTGTGTTTGATTCAATTAGTTCAATACATATTCAACTTTCTATTGTGCTTGAACTGAATGCCACAAAAGCACAAAGTTTGTACACAAAAATTAGTAAGTTAGCTTTAAAAAATAAAAAAAAATCACTATTTTGAAATGTAAATAAGTAAACAAAACAAATTGGTGTTATTTTATAGGATACTATGACCATACTGAAGGCCAAGGGGCACACATTTCCCGAGCTGAAGGAAGCGGATGCGATGTTCACCGCCGACACTGCGCCCAACTGGGCGGATGGTAGAGTCTGCCATCGCTGCCGGGTGGAGTTTACGTTCACCAATCGCAAGCATCATTGCCGCAACTGCGGCCAGGTGTTTTGTGGCCAGTGCACGGCCAAGCAGTGCCCGCTGCCCAAGTACGGCATCGAGAAGGACGTGCGCGTGTGCGATGGTTGCTTTATGGCGCTTCAGCGTCCGGCAGGTGCCAAGAGCAGCACCCGCGTGGCGGACAGCGACTTGCCAGCGGAATATCTGAACAGCTCCTTATCACAGCAGGTGCAGGTTGGTTTTCTGGCGTTGCCTTAACAGCGAAATAAACTAAATCTTTCAATTGTTTTCTTCTCTTCGAAAAGACGCCTGCGCGCAAGACAGAGCAAGAGCTAAAGGAGGAGGAGGAACTGCAGCTAGCCCTGGCGCTTAGCCAATCGGAGGCGGAGAGTAAGAAGCAACCGCAATCGGTAGCTACCTATCGCATGCAGCAGCGCTCGCCCAGCCCGGAGCCGGCACAGCCACAGGTGGCCGTGCAGCAGCAGGAGGAAAGCAACCCAGAGTTGGCCAAGTATTTAAATCGCAGCTACTGGGAGCAGCGAAAAATTAGTGAATCCTCTTCCATGGCCAGCCCATCGGCGCCTAGTCCCATGCCACCAACCCCGCAACCACAGCAGCAACTGCTCCAAACGCTGCCAATGCCAAAGAACGCCGATGAGGTGCAAATTGATGAATTCGCGGCCAATATGCGCACCCAGGTGGAGATATTTGTCAATCGCATGAAGTCCAACTCGAGCCGCGGACGCAGCATTTCCAATGATTCCTCGGTGCAAACTCTCTTCATGACGCTCACTTCGCTGCACTCACAGCAGTTGACCTACATCAAGGAAATGGACGACAAGCGCATGTGGTACGAGCAGCTGCAGGACAAGCTGGCACAGATTAAGGACTCGCGTGCCGCGCTAGATGTGCTGCGTCAGGAGCATGTGGAAAAGCTGCGTCGCATTGCCGAGGAACAGGAGCGTCAGCGTCAGCTGCAAATGGCCCAAAAGCTGGAAATTATGCGCAAGAAGAAACAGGAGTACTTGCAATATCAGCGCCAACTCGCACTGCAACGCATTCAGGAACAAGAGCGTGAAATGCAGCTACGCCAGGAGCAACAGAAGGCCCAATATCTAATGGGTCAAACAACACCGTTTCCCTATCTGCCGCCCTCGGCAGTGCCGCCGCACGGTTCGCCCTCGCATCAGTTGAACAACGTTTACAATCCATACGCTGCGGCTGCTGGCTATCCAACACCCAATGGCCATGGCGTTAGTCAGTTTGCAGGCGGCATACCGCCGCCTGGCATGTACAATCCTGGCATAACGCAGCCACCGCCGCAGCCAGCTCCTGGCATGATGATGGCCCCACCGCCGGGCAGTATGTTGCAACAGCAGCAGCCACCGCTTCCCGACAATCCATACCCGAATCCAGCTCAGGCCATGATGTCGCAGCTGCCGCCACAGCAACAGCAGGTCCCACCTCAGCCCCAGACCCAAGCCCAACCACAACCACATCTGGCTCATGTTATGCTGCAGCAGCAGCAAATTGTGCAGTCGCATCCGCCGATACCCAACACACAAGTGCCACCACAACAGGCACCACCAGCGCAAGCAGCAGCAGCACCACAAGCTTCTCAAATGGAAATCAGCAGCTCACAAGTTCAGGCTGTGGCTGCCGCACCCGCACCACCCCAAAACGATCCCGAACCGGCTGCTCCTGTCAAAGCTACCGAGCCTGCCACAGCGGAACTGATTAGCTTCGATTAGACCAGAATTGTTACCGCTCTTTTATAAAAACTAAGCAGACTCTTCACATTTATAACGGATTCGCACGCGCAGTTTTAATGGCCGTATGCAGCTCAGATTATAGTTATTTCGTGTGAATTTTAAAGAAAAGAGCTGCAACACAGACTTATTGTATTCACCAAGTGTAATCGACTAAAGTATGCGTACGTTATTCCAAAATGAACAGAATTTTATGATATTCGCAGTCGGATAACTAGAAACTGCGTTTTTATTGATTAACCCCTAAACCAAACTAGTTTCTATATTGTTTTTTTGTATTTGAATTTGCCTTAATTTAGAGAAAGTTTCATTCCGGAGTTTCTTGATTAAATTAGCCAAAATAATTATGGATAACCGAGAATGGATTAAAAATCCATTTTCCCAAATATTATATAGCGGACCGGTCTGAAAGTTGAGAAAGCTCCAATAGCTAAAAATCATTTTTAAACTAAATAAATTTGTATTAATAAAAATAAAGTGGCTTGCGTTTTTAACTAACAACAATTAAATGACCCCAAAGCTGTTCTTCACTTTGTGAAGTTTGAAAAAGGAAAACCGAGAACCAAAACAATGAAAAATGCAAACTATAGTTAAAATTTCGAGCCCTCATTTTATTACTCGGCATTTGAAAGCGCCGCCACACCAGGCAGTTTCTTGCCCTCGAGCAGCTCCAGTGCAGCGCCGCCGCCAGTGGAGACATGCGAGACCTTGTCGCTGCCACCGAATTTCTTGCAGGCGGTCGCCGTATCGCCGCCGCCAACAATTGTCGTAGCGCCATCCTGAGTGGCGCACACAACCGCCTGCAACATGTCCTTGGTGCCTTCGGCAAACTTATCATTCTCAAAGAGACCTGGCGGACCATTCCACACGATGGTCTTGGCCTGGACAATGGCAGAGCCAAACATTTCCATAGATTTTTCACCTATATCTAGGCCCATAAGGTCCTTGGGCACGCCCTGCTTTATGTCCGTGATCTTAATTTCACCGGGATCCTTGTCCATCTTCGCGGCGCATTTGAAATCAACTGGCAAAAGTATTTCCACTTTCTTCTCCGCTGCCGTCTTCATAATGTCGTTGATCATTTTGGAGCCCTTCTCGTCGAAGAGCGACTTGCCTATCTCCATGTTATTGATTACCTTTAGAAACGTATAAGCCATGCCACCGGCCACAATCATTTGATCGACCTTGTTCAGCAGATTGTTAATCAGTGGTATTTTGTCAGCAATTTTGGCGCCGCCCATTATGGCCAGAAACGGTTTTTTTGGATTGTCCAGCGCTTTGGAGAAATACTCCAGCTCCTTGTCTAGCAGAAATCCGGCCGCACGCACTTTGTAGCCCTCGCCCATCATTGAGCTGTGGGCACGATGCGCCGTGCCAAAAGCATCGTTCACATAGATGTCTGCCTGTTGGGCCAATTTCTCTCGGAACTCTTTAACCTTTTGTGGATCGGCTTTCACCTTCTTGTCCTTGTCTTTGCTGCTGCCCGTCTCCTCGGCATAGAATCGCAGATTTTCTAGCAATATGACGGCACCCGTTGGCGGATTTTTCGTTGCATCCAACGCTATTTCGCCCACAGAGTCTTCAATAAAGCAAATGGGCTTCTCCAGCAGCTTTTCCAGCTCCTGGGCTACGGGCTTTAACGAATATTTCATATTCTTCTTGCCATCTGGACGGCCCAAGTGCGAAGCCAAAACCTGTGACCCACAAGAAACTGTTAAAGGAACGCTTGTGACCAATATTGATAGCCTTGTTGGCCACCTACCACAGATTTGGCTTTCTTCTCCAGCGCGTGTTTAATGCTCGGCAGTGCCGCCACAATGCGCTGATTGTTGGTTATTTTGCCATCCTTCATCGGCACATTGAAGTCCACTCGCATAAAAACCCGCTTGTCAGCCACATCCACGTCCTTTAGGCTTAGCTTTTTCGGCAGCTTGCCGTCGTCCTCGCATTCTCCTTTGTCACCATAATTTCGCACAGTGTGGAATTTGCAGCCATGGCTGACAAGTTTTTTTGACAAACACCATTGGCTGATTATTGAAATCAAATATTTGTGTTCTAAGTGTAACATGTTTACATAAATTTTAGTTCGTTTCTAATGAATTACATTTTGAAAAACTTAACGAAATAGCCGTTATGTCAAATCGTTAATCACAGGCATGTGATTGCTGCCAAGTTAAGATACATACCAAGATATTTAAAGCTCTAGCATGTATATGCTTAATAAATATCGTTGTTATACTTTTACTATAATTGCTTTAAGATGCTTTCATTTATTTTCACTTTTCGCTTAAGCATTGGCGGCGCTTCCTTATCAGTGTGCGTTACGTCGATAAATATTGCGACAAGTGTGGAGGAGGTCGATAAATTTGAGGCTGTCGTAAAAAAACATAATTAAGGCTAGTACGCTGAGCTCGCAAGCTATATGATATATGTTCAAGATAATGTAAATTGTATGCTCTTCCTTAAGTTAGATTTATTTTCTTGTATGGTTTGACGCTTTTCTGGTGATTAATTCAGGCTAAGCAGCCTTCAAACTCTAAAATTGTATAAACAAATTCGGCTGTTTAAATGCCCCCGCACTTGTGCCAGTCTTCACTTAGATGTGGATAATTTTATTTGACTGTTTTGTACTGTATTGTTCCTACATATACTCACACATAAATGTACGTTTCATTGCACGACACTTATTAAAAAATAAAGAATTACAAAAACTTCTGTGAGTTGCATACCGTGCTTATTTTGAAATATGGATTTGAGCTGCATACCCTGCTTACCATATGTTGCAGCATACGGAAAAAAAGAGGGAAACGCAACGACGCTTATTTATATGTACATACTTTTGTGTAATATATTGCTAAGGGGAACCTAAACAGATCCCAACATGGGTGGCGGTGATTTGGTAAGACCCATTTGAACCACTTTTGGAATTCATATATCTTGAAATCTTAAATCTTGCTGGGATAGAATCTGAAAAAATCATGGCATCCACACACTATGAAGAACCAAGAGCGCGTTTGGAAAGCGGAGCAGGCGAAGCAGGAGGAACAACGCAAATTAGATGATTTGCGCAAGGAGATCAACGAGGAGCGCGACCGCGAGGAGCTCAGACGCATAGGAGAGAATTCTGGCGTTCTGTCCAGCAGCGGCGGCGGCGAAGCGAAGCTGGAGTGGATGTATAAAAGTATATGGAATCATTCTTAAACCCAATTCATAACTAATCATTCAACGTATTCCAGATAGCGCAGAGCTAATCAACCGAGAGGAATATCTGCTGGGACGCAAGATAGATAAATCGTTTGAACAGCTGCAGGCGGAGGAGCGACGCCAGGAGAGTACACTGGGTGTTAAGCAGTCCATCAACCATGTTGAGCACGAGTGTGTGCCATTCTCAATACGGGAATACCGTAACCTGCAGTCCACCGAGCAGGTGGACATGCAACGCAAGACAATGGAAGATCCGTTGATGCTCATCAAGCAGAGGGAAATGGAATCGCGTCGGAAACTGCTGGAGAATCCGGTGCGACTTAAGGAAATCCACCGCATACTCAAAACAGAGCAGGAACAAGCGACGAAACGCAATAAAAAGCCCAAGAAAAGCAAAAAGACAAAGAAAAAGAAGGGCAGAAGCCATGATGACAGCGACAGCAACGATGACCTGGACAGAAAGCTGGCAAAGCAGATGAAGAAACTGAAGGGCGAAAGCACAAATGACGAATTCAAGCTCGACAAACTGCTGGATGCCAAGTATCGTACGTTGACCAAACAGCTGGACATGGCTACAAAGCACAAAAAGACAAAACACAAGAAAAAATCACGGCGTCGCAGCCGTAGCAGCAGCAGCAGCAGCGATGACAGCGACAGCAGCGCGGAGGAGCCAAGCAAACAGACCAGGGAAAAAAGGGGAAGACGTGGCAGAAGCAACAGCAAAGAAGCTGAGCCCAGCAAACAGACCAGGGAAAAAGGGGGAAGACGTGGCAGAAGCAACAGCAAAGAAGCTGAGCAGAACAAACAGTCCAGGGAAATTAGAGGAAGATGTGGCAGAAGCAACAGCAGCGACAATGAACGAACAAAACGCAGGGTGCGGGAGGACGTCAAAAGGCATCGCGACGCTAGCAATAGCAGACGCTGGGGAAGCAGAAGTCGCAGTCCACGTAGAGATCGAGATCAGCGGCCGCAGCGCAGAGAACCCAGCAGAGAGAGACGGCGACGCAGCGCCACACCGGAAAAACGTCCAGCTGTTCGACGTGCGTCGCCACCGGCGGCACGTCAGGCAGCGAAATCCAAACCCAAGCTGAGCGAAAGTGAGCGTGAGGCGCGTCTGCGCGAGATGATGGACAATGCCACATGGCGGGAGGCGGATCGTACCAAGGCCGTGCACAAGCATCGAGAGGAATATGCTCGCGAGGAGGCGCAAAACCAGGCCCGCGATTTCGACCAACAGTTCATCAACAAGCAGGTGAAGAAGGCCATTGATAATCAGACCTCCATTGGCAATCGCATACGTTCCAATCTAAACAACATACAACGCACCTCGGCTGCCATGGATACGAACTTTGCCCGCAAGTAGCTCCCGGACAAACACTTGGCCGTAAGTCCGTATTGTTAGGCTTATGCAGTAGATTAAGGATTAAACCCATGGCCCACGCATTCTTCCTATAAAGCTTGTTTAGCTAATTGATATATTAAATGGCGATTTTATTTTGGTACGAGTGTACCCGACTATGAAATACACTATACCCAGAAATAACAAATGCAGAGTTAGGAGTATTTAGAGATGGGAATGGGTCCGTTTCAACCTAAGAAGCGAATGGAGACGCGACAGACCTGACCAGATCGACTCAGTTCTTCGCACTCATGAAGAATATATAGTAAACACGGGCTTGGAAGTGACTTATTATAGGAAACAACTCGACCTAATGTGTAGCTAGTTAACTTAGTATTCATTTTATTGAACTTTCGGGCTTACAGTATAAACGGTGTCTGGCGCAGCAATGATAACATTAAGATTAATATTTCAGTGAGAGAAAATCTTGGGTATTTATAGACTGGGGTTCGAGCCACTTAGGCATTGGATAAGGCAGCCACGCCTGGCAGTGTCTTGCCCTCGAGCAGTTCCAGCGAAGCGCCGCCGCCGGTGGATACGTGCGAGACGAGCGCCTCTGTGTTCCATTTGGCGCAGCAAGAGGCCGTATCGCCGCCGCCAATGATGGAGACGGTGCCATTCTTGGTGGCAGCCACAACCCCATCCATAATTGCCTTGGTGCCATTGGCAAAGTTGGGGAACTCGAACACGCCGGGTGGTCTGTGAGAAAATAAAACAATCAATGACCGAACGATCGGAGAGTTTGTATAATGGGCGCTTATTACCCGTTCCAGACAATCAGCTTGGCACGCGCAATGGGCGCGGCAAAGAGCTCGCGGGACTTGGGGCCCACATCCAAGCCCATGTGGCCATCGGGAATGCCGCTCTCGACGGTGGCCTCGCTGACGGTTGCATTTTCGGCAAACTTATCGCCGCAGACGAAATCGACGGGCAAATGCAGCTGCACGTTGTTCTTCTTGGCCTTGTCCACCAGATTCTGAACGATCTTGGAGCCCTCCTCGTCGAACAGGGAGCCGCCAATCTTCATGTTGTTAAGGACCTTGAGGAAGGTGAAGGCCATGCCGCCACCAATGATCATCTCATTGACCTTGTCGAGCAAGTTCTCAATGAGCTGGATCTTGTCAGCCACCTTGGCGCCGCCCAGAATGGCCAGGAAGGGATTTGGTGGCTTGTCCAGAGCCTGCGAGAAGTACTTGAGCTCCTTGTTGAGCAGCAAACCAGCCGCACGCTTCTCATAGCCATCACCCATCATGGAGCTGTGGGCGCGATGTGCCGTGCCGAAGGCATCGTTCACATAGACATCGCCCAGCTTGGCGAGGCTGCTGCGGAACTCCTTGACCTTGGCGGGATCGGCTTTCACCTTGGCGCCAGTGGCGTCCACGCCCTTGCCCTCCTCCTCCAGGTAGAAACGCACATTCTCCAGCAGAATAACGGAGCCGGGTGCGGGATCCTTGCAAGCGGCCTCCACTTCGCTGCCCACACAATCGTTAAGGAATGTTACTTTCTGACCGAGCAACTTGGTCAGCTCCTCGGCAACGGGGGCCAGCGTGTACTTCAGGTTCTTGTTGCCATCGGGACGACCCAGATGCGACATGAGCACCACAGACTTGGCCTTCTTAGCCAGAGCCAACTTGATACTGTCCACAGCGGCAACAATGCGCTGATTGCTGGTGATCTTGCCTTCCTTTATGGGCACATTAAAGTCAACGCTACGGCCAGGGATTGAGCAAGAAAATTCTTTTATGCAACATGCAGCCTACACAGAAACGAATCATTACGCAGATTGGGTGCACAACCTACCGCATTAGCACGCGTTTGCCCTCCAGATCCAGGTTCTCTATGCTCAACTTATTGAAGGCCATTTTTGATGCTTGCCAAATTGGATCTTACAAACTTCTGGATACTTTTCGGTTGTGCGAATGCGACTTGACCCACAGCTGTGCGGCAATGTCAGTGCAAGGTCATTAATGGGCAGCATGATTAGGGTTGCCAATGCGCGCCAAACAATGCCGCAACGTCCAAAACCCAGAGCAAACAAGCTGGATAAGATTTTAAATGAACATTAATAAAAATCTAATTGGATTTGAACAATACAGGAACGCTTGCTCGTTTCCAATTTGTACCAATTGGATTTAGACCGTTGCTTATTCAAATCGCATGCAGCACTGGCAAGTGTGTTGAGTAACGTGTATGCGAAGTGTTGTAAATCAACACATGGGCGTGCTTCAGTTTACTTGGCGCGGAATTCAAACAAACGAAATTAAAAAATGGACTTGCTAATTAAGCAAATGCAAATATTAAAGTAATTCATTTTGATTAACCAGCTGTTTAAGGCACAGAAAAGCTACATTAATCCAAAAAAAAAAAAAAAACAGAAAACTAGTTTAAGTAAAAAAATTAAGCGCATATCTGAAACCAATTTCCTGACAGCGAAGCTATTCAACGGGTGTATTCAATGAGTCTGTGTAATTATGTATTGAATAAATGAATGGATGCTACATGACAACGCAGCTCTAAGGCAATTGAGCACAGTTGGTGTAAATTTATTTGTTTTTCTTATGTGCTCTCGACCACAACACAGCGACGCACACACACACACACACACACACACACACACACACACACACACACACACACACACACACACACACACACACACACACACACACACACACTCACTCACACACAAGCGAGCTCGAATGCATACATACAACTGGATATGAAATGACGCCAACATTTTGCTCTTTGCAAATGATTCATTCATGTGGTGCTCACCAGTCGGCTGGCACTCTTGGGTCGTACTCTTTGGCGTACAACCACCACCCGGCAACCGCCACCCGGCCCCGGTCAATCCACCCAGTCAAGCGTTCCCATTGCACCCAAATGCATGACGCAGATGCCAACACAAAAGCCAGCAGGGCCGCAGGCAGAGGCCTATGCGAAAGCGTTGCAGTTTGACCCATCCCGATGCCGAGAGAAAAGAATTTCCACGGCAGCTCGTACATCAACTGACTGTGGTGGGAGAAGATAGGTAGGCGGGGGCGGGGGCGGGGGCGGGGCGGTACGTACTTCTTAGTTCATTTTCTGGCCAATTAAAGCGTTCGCTTCAGAATGCCCACAAATAATGATAACACGTACTTGGGACATGTATTCCATATCGAAAACAAAACCGTCACCAAGAAGCAACTAAATTATTTATTTGCGTTTGAAATGCTCGTCTGAGTCCCTCTAGCCGAGTGTAGGGTATTCATCGCTAATCGCTGCACTCGTGTGGAATCATAACCAAACGCGACTTTAGAACGAACCGACGCCTAATACGACAAATACCCTTCAAGCTACCGATTCGGGTTGTAAGTCCATGGAACCGCTTATCAGCGAACGCTCCCAAACACCCGGTTGCCCTTGTCCGTGTAGTTGTAGTCTCAAACCAGTTCATGCTGTTCTTTTTTTTCTGAATGATTTCAGTTCTTTCACGTTAATACATATTTATGAAATGAAAGATGCCCTACGCTGCGAATGGATGGGGTCAGAACGTTAACCGAGTTAACTATCTAATCTTGCTGGGATAATTCCAATAATATTAGCTTAATTCCACACGAGCCAGCCTAAGCTATATAATGAAATGAATGCACATCTATATATATACATATATATATATATATATGTGTGTGTGTATTTATACGCCTCGCGTGTTTTTCAAGTTTTTCACGCTTTTCTCACCTTCATTTTCCAACGCTATAATCGTTTTTTTTTTTTTTTTGTATGTACATCAAAAGCCATTTACATCTACATGTCGAGTGCTCGCTTTGAATAGAAATTAAACATCTATTCAAAACGATTCGTGACACATTCCCATTATATGGAACTCAGAGCAAGTCTTCATCAAAAATCTGAATCAAATCTGTACAATCTTGTTACAAAACTATTAGCAGTACATACAACAAATACAGGTCCATATATACAGAGACAAACATTGGTAAAAGAATCGATTACTTCCATTAACACCTTTTTGCTGCATGCCACAGGAAGCAGAGGCAACGTGTTAATACACTGAACGAAAACTCGGAGAACCTGAAAACCTGACAATAATACAATGCATATCAAATACATAAATATATGATTAGGGCTTTGAGATTCGATTATATTAAATCTCAACGCTCGCTAAATCGGTCTCTTGAGGACAGCATATTCAAGAGATGATATTTGTTACCTTTGGGTTCAGTGTAAACGCTGCGATTACCTGAAAAGTTTCCTGACTACCTCTAGAACTTTCCCTTGCCTTGTTGCCTGAATGTTAACGATTGTAAACCTTTCTTATCGCAATTCTCTGTACCAACAGTCCAGGGACTGAATAATGGGTATATACGGTTAACCTTGAAATAATATTGGTCATACGTGAAAAACGTGTAACCGTGTAACTGTTACATCTGTCTGCTGTCTATATAGATACATACACACATACATACATACATGTACATTTATACATACATACATATGCATAGTGTGGATAGTTCGCGAAGGAACTGCATAGACCGAATATACATACATACATATGTACATACGTATATGTAAAAGAATAAATCATATCGAAACAAATATTATTTATCCCTCATTAAACGGGGGAACGAACGCAACGCCGCTCAAAACAACACTAAAAGAGAGTCGAAAGAAAGAAAAATGGAAAACCCGTAGCGCAAAAACGAAGACGCAAATCGGCTTATCAAGAAATGAAATGTTAAGGCAAAAGCAAAAGTCACAGTTCTTCTTGTTGTTGTTGCTGTTGCCGTTGCTTTTGAGTAGCTGGTGTTGCCGTTGCGCTGTTTAAATATGATAACTCAATGATTGTCCCACGATTACAGGTGTTGTTGGCAACAATGCCAGCCGCGCCAATGTGTGGAGTGCTACAAACTGGTAGATGCGACCATAGACGACTGTCATCCACGTTGGCGAGGCGAACATCGGTTTTAATTAGCGAGCTGTCGTTGTGGGTCTCTCTCTCTCTCTCTCACCCTCTCTCTCTCTCTGCCTCTCTCCCTTTCGCTCATATTATTCAGATTACAAAACTATACTTATTTGTTTTGCATAAAAATAGCAGAAAAACGACTGTGGCCAGCTAGCAGCAGTAGTTCAAATAAGTAATGGGACAGACGACTTCATCAACTGACGGCCAGAGAGACTGGCTGCGGCGAGAGCGACAATAAAGCAGAAGAACGTTAGCTCATTAGTCAGTTCCTGAACCAGCATGGTTCGTGTAACGAACAGAGACAGCAAATTGTCGAACCACAAATGTGTGGGATCAACTGAAAGAAATGCAAAGATGCAATAATGCTGAAAAAAAGCGAAATGCGAAAAATGGGGTGAACCTTGTTCACCGTAATGACAAAGATACAAATGTACGAGACTTTTAACTTGGTTAGCACTGTATAATATTTATAATTTGGTTAGTTAAAGTCATTAGATTTCCATCAACAGCTTAATGCTTAGAAATGTTCTGTTTGTTAAGAAATAAGCTGGTAATTGGCATTAAACATCTTCAGTCGCCCAATTGACCTGATTACTCGCTTGCTTTTAGGTCCACTCTATAAATATATTGTGGCACAAACAATAAGCGAAACACTGCCGTTGAGTATGCAACCCAGCAGCAGAACACATACACGCCACAGACGCGGCGACAGAACGCCAAAGTTGCCCGGCCAGCCGCTGCCGCTGTCGCTGCTGCTACTGCTGCTCGTACAACTACCGCTTGGGCCCTCCCTAGCAGCCTGTGCCCAGCTCTAAACCTCTGCAGCCCCGTCGAGAAGCACTCCTCGGCTAACAACAACCACCGCCAACAAGAGCTGTAACGGGCAAGCAGCCACCGCGGCCGGCAATTTTCAAATTTACCGCCAAACGTGCCGGCGACGTCGACGTCGCCGTTGGCTGTGCTGTACTCACTCACGACCAGAAAGCGCATTTTGTATGGGATTCGTCAAGAAACCCACTCGAGGTGTCATTTTTGGATTTCAGCTTGATCGCAGCGCCCGCAAAAAGATGCCAAATTGAAGGGGACTATTTATACTACCGATTCCCAATAGTTTGGACCAGATCCAAATAAAGGTTTACGAGCAATCGGTGAAAATGCCAAACGCTTAAGCTGTACAAGAAGACACTGCTTGCAATCTGTAGACGGCCGCGTGTGCGATGGTAAGTTTAGTCTTGTACGAGCCGTCAACGGGTACACATATCGGTGGTCAGTCAGAAAGCAAGAAAATACAAAATACTGAAAAATAATCAGCCAAGGCATACAAATATACCGAATAGCGTACGCACATACACAAATTTGTATATTTGTTGCCGCGCTGAAACTAAGGCTATATTATAAATATTTTATTATTTTATCAAAAAATTATTGCAAAATTATTTGTAGAGTCGGTCAGCGGGCGTAGTTGGTGGGTCGGCCGGACGGGAGCTGGGGCGGCGTTTGTTATTTTGTTCTCGCCTCCGCTACCTGCTTAATGTTGTTGTTGCCTTCTCTTCTCTACTTTGCCAACTGCTGCTGTACAAATGCCGCCGTGCTTTTTTGTTCAGTGTATTGCATACATGACAGAACGAGAGAGCACGTAGAAGAGAGAGAGAGAGAGAAAGAGAAGGGGACAGTGACAGCAGCGCGCGGCTTGAGCGTGAGCGAGTGATAAGCGAGCGAACAGCGGCCGGTCCGAACGAAAGAGAGACAGAGAGAAAAAACGAGAGCAAGCAGCCGCAGTCGGAAGCGTGTGCGTGTGTGCATGTGTATGTGTGCTTGTGTTGTATCTGTTAAATACACACGACATGGCAGCATTTCAGACAGTGTGTTTGTGTGCTTCGTGCGGTGCGGTTCTCGATTTTTCCCTCTTCGGAACAATCTATCTATTTTGCGCTAATTTTTGTCAACAACCAAAAAATATCTTGAACACACAGCAA